TTAGTGTATGCACCAACAACCATACATTTTAGTCATTAAATAGACAAAAAGTTGTTGAGTCAAGCAAGACACCTTTATTGGGTATGACAGGTAAATAATCAAAAATTCAATAAGATCTATATTATATATAAAAATATATAAAAGAAAATGCCACTGTTTCTCTTACATAGGAATTTTGAAAATTTTACATTAAGTCAAGATAATACAGAAAAACATTGAAATGAGACACTTATCCACCCTATGTCCATGTATGGTGACAAAATGAAAATTATGAATAACAAAATGAAAATTTTAAGGCCAAAGTAAAAAGTTGTCGGCAGACAGACATGCAAACACTCAGGAAAACAACAGTATGCCCTCCTATCTTTTATTCAGAGGCATATGAAAAATGGTACAATTTTGCCAATGATTTTTGTTTTGCTTCATTTTAAAAATGTTTTAGGTCAAAGAATTTTCTAAAAAAGCGACTGCAGACATGAAAGTTACAAAAACTGTTCTGGATAAATATGGGGATGGAAGCTTTTAAGAATATAAGTCAGAAATCAAAACCACTTCTTATCATAATTAACAACAAATTAAGAAGTACTGACCAAATTAGCTTGTGTAGCTCCAGCGATATGTGGTGTTATAACTACACCTGGTAGACTCCATAGCGGACTTTCTTTAGGTAAAGGTTCTTTCTGAAACACATCCAGAACAGCACCACCTATCCATCCTTCCCTGTAGAATATCAAATCAAGTAACACATGTTCAAAACTTTTATCCATCACCATGCTGTCCATTTCATGTCTTACTATACTTTTCTCATGAGATAGTTCAGGAAGTGGATTGCTTGGTGATAGATAAAATTTGAAAGATAGTTAGATTCTCAATTCAGGTTATGCAAAAATACATGTACGTACATTTTGTATAATATTATTAAACATTTGGTGTGTATTGTAAAATTATCAGTGTTCAAACTTGGTATTTGAGCCGCGCCATGACAAAACCAAAATAATGGGTTTCCGACCAGCATGGATTCAGACCAGCCTGCACATCTGCCCAGTCTGATCAGGATCCATGCTGTTCGATATCATTTTCTCTACTTGTTATAGGGTTTGTGAGCGAACAGCATGGATCCAGATCAGACTGCGCAGATGCGCGGGCTAGTCTGGATCCATGCTGTTCGCAGACCCATTATGTTTGTTTTGTCATGACGCGGCTCATTTATTTATGGTTTCAGCAAGATATCCTCATAGAGAAAAATGTTTTAAGTTTTACAGTGTGCAAGAATATTCACACTTATGCAATTGTTTACCAATCTTTTATTTACTGAATCAATTTATTGAGATAAATAATACTATATATAAAATACATTATTCCAATTTCACCTTGCACTAAATGTAAACCAGTATATAATTTCATTTCTCCTTTTCTTACTTATGCAATTGCTACATTGTCAAAAATGAATCTAGTACAAACTCATGACCTCTGGGTTGGGTGACACCTTAATCACCAGGCAATTACCTACCACACCTTACACAAACTTAAAGCCCCATAATGCTTTTATTTTCATATCAAGTTCTCAAGTAGAAATAAATAGAACATACAGAAGAAAGGAAAAGAAACCTAAATATAGTAAACAAAGTTAAATAATTCAACTTACTTTAAGGCAGTAATAAGTGACTGCTCATCTATTATATCACCTCGACCGATGTTGATGAAGATACTTTTCTGGTTATGAAAATAATCACAGGTTTATAGTTATTCTAATATGTTACTTAAAAAGGCGTCATCTCACAGGAATATAAGTATTAACACAAAAACAATATGAAACCAATTTCCAAAAAAAATCAACAATTTAAAAGTTCATTCTTCATCTTGCATCTTTAAACAATTTCAGTAGTTTTAAACATATAGAAACATTCAAGGTCTTGATTACTTTCTTTGCTGTAATTTGAGAGCAATATGAAAACCTGCCAAACAATGGTGCTTAAAGGTGCTAATTGCAAGAAGTAAGTCAAATTGTTAACTACACTTCAAATTCAATATTGTAGACCAGCTTTTATGGTGAAGGTCCATGTGAAAATGATCTACATGTCATCATCAACTTCACCACAAAATCTAGAAGCTGTAGGCTAAAGTATCTCTGTATACAAGCTTTGGGGTCAAGGTCACAGTGACTAACCTAATGACCTTAAGGTCATGAGATATCAGCTACATGTCCAACCTGGTTATTAACAAGTTTTAAGACTCCTGTAGTCAGTAAATAACCTACTTTATTTTTACAATGAGAGAGTATGTCTCCAGACAAGGTGCCACGTGTTTCAGGAGTACTAGGTAAAATATTGCACACATAATCACAGTCCTTGAGAACAGATGGTAATTCTGACATCAGCCTTAAAATAAAACAAATATCTATTACTGGTACATGCAAGGCTTTTATAATTTCATTATAAACTTGTTTGTCAAAGATAATATATATCATAACAGGTTACAATGCTAAGTATACAATATAAAGTCAATATGGAAAGTATTGAAAGTACACTATGATCAAAAATTTTATTAAAAATCTCATTAATAATCTCAACAATACCATTTGTAAGTAAATATCGCAGACAGAATTAACAATATTTAACGTCACCTACTGTACCTTATAACTAAACATATTCACTGAGATGACCAACAGATATAAAATTATATAAATTTAAACCATAAATAATAAATGGGAAATGACATATTCATATTTCATTGTAATGTCATAGTTAAATGAAATGTACCTATATTGAGACACAGCTTGGCTTTTCTTTTCCTCAGTTGGTTCAGTACGAGTAACACCAATAACTGTCATACCAACAGCATTACATAGTCTAGCCACTGTTAAATACATGGTCATGCGAATAAAATATGGCATTCTTAATAAATATTAATTTATTATTACATATTATTAACTTTGATCGGGTGACATGAAACACCACTAAAGTGAATATTTCCATAAAAGATTTGTTTGTTTGTTTTTTTATTTTAAGAAACAGTGACACTGCAAAGTTCAGATAGTGACTTTCCTGCTTTACTTGCGAAGAAAGACTTCAGGTGTCCCTTTGAGCACAATATCGACACTAGCTTGCACTAATGTAAAACCACCAACCTTCCACAAAGTTAGCTGGATAGCTTCCCCGTATAAAAGAATCTAATGCCCCTGATAGGATTCCAACGCAAAGAGAGGAGGAGCAAGTGATTTGAAACCGACCCATAGAGGGGAGGAGCAAGTGATTTGAAACTGACACATAGAGAGGAGGAGCAAGTGATTTGAAACCGACCCATAGAAGGGGAGGAGCAAGTGATTTGGAAACTGACCCATAGAGGGGAGGAGCAAGTGATTTGAAAATGACCCATAGAGGGGAGGAGCAAGTGATTTGAAACCAACCCATAGAGGGGAGGAGCAAGTGATTTGAAACCAACCCATAGAGGGGTGGAGCAAGTGATTTGAAGGGGAGAAGCAAGTGATTTGAAACCAACCCATAGAGGGGAGGAGCAAGTGATTTGAAACCAACCCATAGAGGGGAAGAGCAAGTGATTTGAAACCAACCCATAGAGGGGAGGAGCAAGTGATTTGAAACCAAACCCATAGAGGGGAAGAGCAAGTGATTTGAAACCAACCCATAGAGGGGAGGAGCAAATGATTTGAAACAAGGGGCTAGTAATTTGAAAGTAGCTCTTTACCAACACTCAAAACACATCAATCTTAAAAGAGAAGGAATGCTATGAGAAATGGTAAGCATGACACGAATGAATAATGGAAGGAAGGCCAAACCAGATATTAAATATTCAACAAAAAGAAATTAGGGAACATATAAAATAAGTAGAGAAGAAATATTAGGTACTTTTAAGGATATTCAATAAGAGTCTGATCTTTAGATTCAAATGCAATATTTACCTTCTTGACCTATATCGCCTACTCCAAGAATTCCTATTGTTAATTCTGCCAAATTTCTGTAATTTCTGTGTTTCAAACTAGATAGAATTAAAAAAATACCTATCAATCTCAAGACAATAATTCATCAGCCAAAGCTAATATATTAATATTCAACACACAAAAATTCAGATTTTCATGTATTTATGTATTTATAAATGATGAACTTGGATGGTGGATGTATTACTGTATCTTTTTTCATGACAGATTTATTATATTTTCATAATTGAATTATGCAGAGCTTTTTCATGAACTTATATTGGAAATATTTCATTCCAGATTCTATATATATAATATTGCACTATGACTGAATAGATATATATGAAGTACTGACAATTAACATTGAAAACATGGATTATTTTCATATGAAATAAGTTAAACAAAATTTCAGTAATTTTTTATTTATCTTACTTGCATATTTTTTTTGTCTTAGCTTATTATCTTTCAAGTCACTTTTCCTTGAAATTTGAATCATGTAACCATATCATTTTTCCTCTACTTTCTTACCATTTTCATATGTTGCCTCAAAAAATATGTAGTAAACGTTTTTTTGTAAAAAAATATGTACAATTTTCTATGAGAAATTTACTATCTTAAAAAGATGACACTCAAGTGTATTTGCTTCCATAGAAATTTACCTTACTTGTTCCAGCTTTGTGTCTCCTGGTCTTTGGCCACTTCAATAATAAATCTCTCTTTCGTGAGAATATAGCCAAGCACGTACTCTCCCATAACCCTACTGTAAGCTCCGCCCATTCTGGTGACAGTAAATCCAGGTGGCTAAAACATATTGAAAATATTAAACATGAAAACTCTTTACTGAAGCCTTGAGATATTTTTTTTCAGTACCACTCAGAGAGTATCCTGGCATGATCCTTAACAAGGTACTTTAAATCTAAACAGCAAAACAAAATATTGTTTTTTACAATGGTGCCTTGTACTCAGGTGAAATCTGTTTTCTTTTATTTTAATTTGTACAGGCTTAGCTTTTATTTATGATATTTGAACTTCTTTAGCAAAAATGTAAAGAAACACCTTAAATTTCATACATTATAATAATCATAATAAGGACTTTCAAATACTATCAAAGAAATGTGACCAATGAATAACCATGTACATGTATAAAGAATTCAACAAATCTTATTCAGAAACACTTAAATATTGGCAATATAACATGAATAATGTATCAATTCTACCTTTTCCTTTCCTATTTCTTTAATCAATCTTTCAACTCCTGAAATTTACAAATGAGCCGCTTCATGACACAACCAACATAATGCGTTTACGACCAGCATGGATCCAGACCAGCCTGCCCGTCTGCGCCGTCTGATCAGGATCCATGCTGTTCGCTATCAGTTTCTCTATTTCTAATAGAGTTTGTACAGTTTGGATCCTGATCAGGCTGCGCGGACGCGCAGGCTGGTCTGGATCCATGCTGGTCGCAAACGCATTTTGTTAGTTTTGTCCTGACGCGGCTCAAATCATGATATTAACAGCAATATTTTTGTATCTCAATTTACAAATAATAATAGGTGGGGAAGAATTGATAGACTTAATTTTTTCTTGTTTTTTCTTCTTGTAAAAAATGCAAATAAACAATTTATTTAATAAATGATAAGAAAATAAGATAATATTCAAAACACATTATATCACAATAATTATGTGTAAGATTACATTTTTCATTATAGTTAACCACTCAGCCATGCTGCCACTACAAAGACTAAATTTTTAGCTATTATACAAATTTACTATTTCCTATTTCATATATCTTTCTTCTTTATTTAACTAGGAAGTCATGTATGCTACAACAGTATTTCTAAAACATTTTGTTTTTAAAAAAGGAAAAATTCTACAAACCTGCCCAAGTGCTTGCTGCCCATTTTAGCTTCTTTGCCTTACCAGCTAAGTCAATAATGACAGGTGTGTCAGCCAATAAAATCTCAGCATTTTCTTCAATATTAGACTTGTCACTTGCTGTCAATATAAAATTATAGTCAGTGTGATGTGGTTATCATGCATTTCATTGTAATGACCATATATGGCAGGGGTTTACATTGAGCAAAGTTGACCTACTTTAAAAATACAACCAAGCAAGAATGTATTCAGCTATGTGTTTTCGTGAAATGGAATAACATTTTACACATTTCTACACAAAAGTCTTCATAGTCTATTTAAATTGTATCTGAAATAAATGTCATTTTCTAAATGTTCTTGTTTGTAGGAAAAAAATATGTTACAAATGAAAGATTGTTTAAATATTTGACCAGCACTATCACATTTAGTACTTTTAACTGAAACATAAATAAGTGCTGTCAGTAGCACAGAGTGCTTGATTATTTCAGTGCTTGTAAAAAAGTGCCTGGATAGTAGATACTGTAGGGATTAACAAAACAGATGATTTCATTCAAACAAATACATGTCATTGTTATGAGTCTTGGATATAAAGATTACAAGAAGTTGTTTATCATTCAAAATCCATGTCAACTGAATATTTTTTATGGGCCTTTAAAGCTACTACCTCACATATTCTAGTTCAGGCGTTTTTGAAATAAAAAGATAAAATTTCACCACAGACTCGTTCTTCTTATTTGGGGTCTTAAATGGACTCCACTGAGGTTTTTTGACATGATGGGACTGAAAATATTTTTTCCAGATAATTGTACCATTTGATGTAGGTTTAGACCACTAATCTTTGTGCAAAATTTCAGATCATTCATGCACACTGTTTTTCCAGAATAATTATTCAAATTGTAAAAAACTGACCCAAACTGAAAAGCATTTTTAAAAACGCTTTTCACTCAAATTAGGCTAAGAAAAGCATAAACAATCTAAACAATCTATATCCTAATAGGTTTTTAATAGGGGCCGAGTTGACCCATGCCGAGTTGGTATAGGGCCGAGTTGACCCTTTACCTTCTGGGACAATACCTGTTTTTAGTGACATCTGGAAGATGTGGGTGACAGGAGTAACCTCTTGATGGAGCTCTTTTAGTAACCAAGGGGGATATTTCGTCAGGGATATTTGTGTTAAGACCTTTTAAAAGTTTCTTCATACCATCTCCTGATATAGTTACTTTTGGCATAGATGGGTGGTGTTTTGGAACAAGCTTCTGTTTGCATGACTGGGATAAGCTAAGGGGCCGATAGTCTCAATATTTCGACTGCAAGATGGAACGACTTCGCAAAATGATATTACACAGCTGTCCGCCTTTTTTCATCAGCCAAGGGCAACCATCATCTATATAATAAAAAGCCCTAAAGCGCATAATTTGTTGGGCTAAGGGGCTGAGCAGCTGCTGAGGCCACAGACACTTGGAGTATAGACCCCGCCCTTCTCCGCCCCTGAATATAAAAAAGTAAAAGTATTATCTATTACAAGAATAAGTTTTAAATTTTTGCTTATATAAGTATGAGACGGTTAAGTGTCTAACACATGAACAAGTTTCAACCGAATTTCATAACGTTTTAAAACAAGAGCCACCGCCAAGCGGGGGCAACGCTCGACTTTTTACTTTTTCTAAACGCAAACATAGAAAGGTTTGAACATATATTAACGTTTCCTTTTTATAAATTTAGTTGGTCTGTCTTGTCACATTAGTTTTCTTTATATATTTTGTATATAAATGAATAGAAACATTAAGCATATTTCTAAAAATAGCAACAGTACGCAATTTCAATAAAAATGGAAAAAATGACGCAAATTCTAAAAATAGAAAAAATGACGCCATTTCTAAAAATAGCAACAATGACGCAATTTCCTAAAAATAGAAAAAATGACGCAATTTCTAAAAATAGCAACAATTTCTAAAAATGGCAACAATGACGCAATTTCTAAAAATAGAAGAAAAAAATGACGCAATTTCTAAAAATAGAGAAAAAAATGACACAATTTCTAAAAATAGCAACAATGACGAAATTTCTAAAAATAGCAACAATGAAGCAATTTCTAAAAATAGCAACAATTTCTAAAAGTAGCAACAATGATGCAATTTCTAAAAATAGAATCTAAAAATAGCAGCAATGACGCAATTTCTAAAAATAGAAAAAATGACGCAATTTCTAAAAATAGAAAAAAATCCTAAAAATAGAAAAAAATGACACAATTTCTAAAAATAGAAAAAATGACGCAATTTCTAAAAATAGAATCTAAAAATAGCAGCAATGACGCAATTTCTAAAAATAGAAAAAAATGACGCAATTTCTAAAAATAGAAAAAAATGACACAATTTCTAAAAATAGAAAGAAAAAAATGACATAATTTCTAAAAATAGAAAAAATGACGCAATTTCTAAAAATAGAAAAAAATGACGCAATTTCTAAAAATAGAAAAAATGATGCAATTTCTAAAAATAGAATCTAAAAATAGCAACAATGACGCAATTTCTAAAAATAGAAAAAATGACTCAATTTCTAAAAATAGAAAAAAAATGACGCCATTTCTAAAAATAGCAACGATGACGCAATTTCTAAAAATAGAAAAATTGACGCAATTTCTAAAAATAGAAAAAAAAGGACGCAATTTCTAAAAATAGCAACGATGACGCAATTTCTAAAAATAGAAAAAATGACCCAATTTCTAAAAATAGAAAAAAATGACCCAATTTCTAAAAATAGCAACAATGATGCAATTTCTAAAAAAAAGAAAAAAATGACGCAATTTCTAAAAATAGAAAAAATGACGCAATTTGTATATATATATATATATATATATATATATATATATATATATATATATATATACACATGTTTATATATATATATATACACACACACACACATTTATATATATATATATATATATATATAATACATATACTATACATACACACACACCAATAAATGCACAATCTGAGAAAATTCAGTAATATAACCTTCAAGTTCAAGGTCATTAAAGAGCCCAAGCAAATTTGGGTTTGATAAACAACAAGGTCTGGTCCTTAAGAATGTTCTGTTATAATATGAAGTTTATCCCTTCAAAAATAGCAAAGTTACAGTCAGTTACCACCAAAACAATGAAAATTTCAATTATTTGACCTTCAAAGACAATGTCATTAATGAGTGAAGGTCAAGGTCTTTCGGTATATTTTTAACAGTTATCTTTGAAGATTATTATGTTCAAGTTTGAAGACAATCCATTCAAAAATACCAAAGTTACAGCCAATAATAGCCAAAAAAATGAAAATTTCAATAATTTGACCTTCAAAGTCAAGGTCATTGATGAGTGGAGGTCAAGGTCTGACTGGTTATTTTTAAGGGATATCCTTGAAGATTATTATGTTCAAGTTTGAAGACAATCCATTCAAAAATAACAAAGTTACAGCCAATAACAGCATGAACAAGCAAAAATTGGACTTTTAACCTTGAAGGTCAAGGTCATTTATGGATGAAGGTCAATGTTAGTGTGGTCTACTGAAAGGTCTTGTCCCAAGGGTTGTTGTGGCCAAGTATGAAGACAATACACCAAGAAATAAAAAAGTTATGATCCAGGTACAAGTTTTCGGACGGCAACGGCAACGGCAACGGCAAAGGCAACGCCGACCTGACTATAACAATACCTCTACTTTTTTTTTCAAAAAAAAAAAAGTCGAGCTAAAAAGTCAATTTTTTACCAACGCTTCAATTTCCTGAAGATACCAAGCTTCGAAATGTAAACACAACTGACCTACATATATTTCAGGTATTTATGTTATCGCATGCCATTTATTTCTGGTGTAAATCAGTCTATGCATATATTCCTTTAATAAATAAATGCATGTTATTTTCAGATCGTACCTTTCTTCCAAGCTTTGCACTTTTAATTACATTTTCCTAACCGTGTCACATGCTTCTTTCCGAATTCATGACGACTGGAATGTTTCCCGTAAATTACAGCGGGAAAATCGCTGGGAAAAAGAAATTCAATCGCAACTACTCGGCCCTTTCCGTCAGTCTTTCTGTACTGATTAGGGGAAGTAACCGCTACGGGGTTTTGGTTCTCGGCATGAAAATGAAAGCTCAAAACAGTGCGGAAACTCATTCCAGTCCTCTCACATCAAAGGAAAGCGTACGTTGTTATCTTTATGAAATTATGATATTTTAGGTACTTTTTTAAACGTTGTTAAAATAGCAGAAAACAAGTTTTATGTTCAAGACATGTGACCAGGTCGTAATAATATGCAAAAATATTTGGACATACGGTTTGCACGATAAAAATACACAAGGTGTATACAAGTGCGGATCAAGGAGGGGAGCCATGCACATAACCCCAAGTGTCTGTGGCTGAGGCCTCAAAATACTCATAGATACTTTAAGCACTGTAAACTAAAAGCACATGAGAAAAAACTATAATAATCCACAGACACTTAGGGTTTGGAGCTCAAAACGCCTTTAAAATCCAAATAAAATGCATATTTTCACATAATCCTTGTGGTCGTTGACGCTCAATAATAAATAACTTATTATTATAGATGTTGAAATATGAAATTTTTTCAAAACGGCTTATATTAAGTTTTTTTGATATATATGATCAGTACATGTGCTTGGATTGACAAATATGCATTTTATTTGGATTTTAAAGGCGTTTTGAGCTCCAAACCCCAAGTGTCTGTGAGTAAATCTTGAACATTTTTGATGTTTTTTTCGCATATTTTGTTGTTTATATTTAAGATGAAGCTTAAAACTGACAATGATCGTGAAGTATAATGTGTAATGCGTCAACGACCACAAGGATTATGTGAAAATATTGGAAATTGAATAAAATACAAGGTGTAAACGAAGGTAGGTGTGCGGATTTTTTCCGGCGAACATTTTTATCTTGTGTATTATTATAGATGTTGAAATATGAAATTTTTTCAAAGCGGCTTATATTAAGTTTTTTTGATATATGATCAGTACATGTGCTGGGATTGACAAATATACTTTACTTTACTTTACTTTATCCAGCGTAGGGTCGCGAGATCAGAAATCTCTTATAACCCCCTCGAGGTCTGACACCCAATGATTATTATCCGGTATAACAGTATAATTTGTTTTTCATAACCTTATCGAGTCTGTTTTTTAGCGAATTCAGCGTTGGTGAACATACTACAGAATTTGGTAATTTATTCCATTCTGGTATTACTCTTAATGAGAAAAAATGTTTTCTTAATTCCTTTTTACATGATTTTATTTTCAACTTCATGGAATTTCCTCTGATGTGATAGTTATCAAGTTGTGCTTTTTCAAAAAATACATTATAATCTATATCTTCCTTCCCATTTAATAATTTCCATGCTTGTATGATATCACCTCTAAATCTTCTGTAAGCCAAAGTAGGAATTTCCAGAATTTTTAATCTTTCTACATACGATAAATTTCTGATACATTGAACCATTTTTGTTGCTCTTTTTTGAACTCTTTCGATTGCTTCAATATCTTTTTTAAATCTTGGACTCCAAATAATATTTCCATATTCAAGGTGCGGTCTTATAAGTGTTTTATAAAGTTATGCATTTTATTTGGATTTTAAAGGCGTTTTGAGCTCCAAATCCCAAGTGTCTGTGTAATAATCCTTTAGAAATTAATACAAATAAAATACATGCATAATAATCTATACATACACAATAATCTATGACAATATTATTTTGTGAATAATCTCATGTAGTAGGACTTATCTGTCGAGTAATAATTAGAATGTGTGCTGTGCATATAATTTATGAATCAATTAAGTGTAGAAAATAATACCAGACAAATTGATATCAACGTCCACAACATTTACAGAGGGGAGAAGTTTTTGAACTGCTGATGCTATCTTGCTGTCAACGCTTGAAACAAATACCTGAGTCATTTTACAAAACTTTGACATCGCTAATTTTTTCTAAACCTTAGCACCGGTTGGGAAATTCTCCCGGTTCCGAAATCCGGAACCTATCCGGGATCGGCCGGGATCTAGGATCTGACACGTTAAGATTAAACATATTTACTTTTTTAAGCTCGATTGCGGAACAAGTTTTTGCAACTTATTATACTGGAACCAACCAGTACTGGTGTCATATGAAGATGCATGGCCGTGACCCGATTAGGGCTCGTACCCATGATCCCTGGGTTGAGAGGCAGACACCTTAAATTAACCACTAGGCCACCGCTCCCCTTGAGAATGTAAATACATTGGTTAATTTATATTAACATCATAGTTTTGACAATTGTGTTAGCTAGAGAGCGTAAAATTATGTCCCGGGCTTTATGTCCCGGGCTTTATATTTGCGAGAATAATCTGGGGATACAAAAGTTACTAATCTTCGGTCTCCACAAAATTGTCTACAATCAGAGATGTAGATAACAGAGATAAGCAGCTCCTATATACTCCATAGAAATATCACTCATGTCCATAAAAAATTAGGCATTTTGTAGTTAATAAAACTTAACAAATGTACATTTGATTCTTTTAAATTATACACCATTTGAAATGTATATCTTAATTCTTTTATCTATTGCTGCATGTTAAAATATTTGTAACTTTTCTCGCTTTTCACTGAGAAAAACATAGCATAACATACCAACTGAGCCAGTTTTTTATCATATGAATAGATTTGTAACAAAAATTAATAAGTAGTTCTCTTTAAAAATTGATGTAACATTTATATATCATAACACCAACTAAACCCAGACCAAGGTCGCCACGTGTAGTACCCGATTTCTGCAATATTCAACGTCCACTGACGTTATGAAGTTCAGCTACTTTCCTCGTTGAATTTCTCTGTGGAACAACCTGCCATACTCATTCTTTGGCATCCTTCAAGGATGAGCTGTCTAAACTAACCTTCTAAAGGGGACTTAACATGCACAGTTTACTAAGGTACCCGCCATTGATGGCTTGAAGCCTATGCCAGGCAAGGGTCTCTGGACCATAGGCACCGGCTCACGGAAAACTGGATTGGCCTTTGCCTAGGATAGGCTTTGAAAGTACTGTGTACAACTATTTCCGCTCTTCATGTTCTTTTTAACTTCTAATCTAGCAAAAACTATGTCCGTGTCTTTTTTCTTTCTATCCTATTTTATTTCTCTTTTTTCTTTTTTATTGCGCACCGTTAAAGAAATGTCTAGTTTGATAGTTTAACGTACATAATTATGTAATTAAAAAAAGATAGGGAAATTATAATTCAGGGGAAGGTTGTAAAATTTGTTGTTCTACCGGTGCAGCCGATAGACAAAGTGCAATAAGCATATGCAGAAATGTTATTACTTTCTGGTTTAGTCTTTGATTTGTCTAGGTTAATAAGTTTTACCAACTTGCTCACAATCTTTCTAAGTTTAGCAAGTCTATCAACACGAGATATCCTTATTACTACTCGCACTGGCTAGGAAGTATGCCTATCTCTTGTTATTCTCATGATAGTCTGCTATCAGATTAAATGGCCGTCGATAGGAGACCGGCGATTGATGTAGCCGCAATGTAAGTAGTGGTATTAAATCTCCGATTTTTTTTAAACTAAAAAAATTATATATATAACTTTTCTCTTTCCGCGGCTTCATTTGCCAGTTTGGAGCGGAAGTTTGCAAGAAAACGCTTCTGCAATAAACAGGCACCGAAAACAGCATTCTCTCCAAAGTTAGCATAAAATTTGTATGTTTTTTGGCTGATTTGAAACTTGTTAAACTTTATGTGCTCTGATCCGATCAATCATATACTATTATTTTACACCCATGCTTTAGACTGTGGAGCATTTTGGCATCATACTACACTATTGTTACGCGTACATATAAATACACATGTACAAGTGTAATTAGTCTCCTAGCTGTAATTCTATTTAGAATTTGTATTGACATATACATGTATGCGTAAAAATATTGAAGTACGATGCCAAATGCTCCACAGTCTAAAGCATGGTTAAGGCAAATAATGCAATAATGACAAAATGTAATACAGTACAATGGTTTAAAATAAATACATTTAAAAAAGCTATACTTTCAAGAGCATTAATTATTACGTATTTCAAAAGCTTCTTTAATTAACAAATTTTGATAATTATTTTTTATTTGATGTAGACATTTATAAGGGCATTGAACATATATTTACTGTTGGCCATGAAATATGACTTATATATAAATAACAAATTTCAGAATATTTAGTAAAATAGTTCGATAGTAATCAAGTTTAGATGTATAATTTAAACACGTTTCCCACAATTGAATGAACTGATCTCGCAATGTCCTTTTAAGCAAAGGTAAATAATTGATATACGTGGGAGGAACTGTTACACTAAGGATGGAGTTCTTATGATAACTTGTCAGGATTTCTTATGATAACTGTCACGTAGTCCTTAAAAACGTTACGGATTTCGTCGGAGAACTTTATTGTATATTGGAGAAACACTCGCCAAATTGGTAATTTTTAACTTTAAGGGACTTTGAGGTGCTAAATTAAACTTTGATGATTAAACTTGCTTTACATCTTGTATTATGTGTCAGACAAAAAGTTCATTTTTCATTGCCTTATGTTTAAAGTCTGGTAGTTTTGAGTAAATTTTCCAAATAACTTGCTCATTCGTACATATTGACCTTTTCATTTGTGATCTTCTTCGTTGCCATACTTAATTACCTAATTATAATGGAAAGTTGGAAACATAAAGCCCAGGCTAATAAATTTATAGTTCTTGTGATAATTCTGAAAAAAAGCACAAGAAACGGAGGTAAGAAAACGAAAATATCACTTGAACTGAAATACACCAAAAACCAACATCATATAACCGACTTTTTGTGAAAATAATAAACGTACGTACTATACACTTCATGATGATTTACACACTGTATTAAATAAAACACGCTAACACGTGCTGTAACTTAGCATGGCAGTAACAAAAGTTATCATAAGAACTCTAGGACATCTCCAGAGTTATCAAAAAAAAATGGACTAAAAAGCTTTTTCTGACACATAATACAATTTTTATGTCAAGCTTAATAACCAAAGTTTAATTTAGCATTACAAACACCCATCTAAAAGATGAAATTACCAGCTTTCACAAGTGTTTGTTCGGTATATAAACAAGTTTTCCGAGGAAATCCGTAACGTTTTCCAGGCACTCAGCAACAGTTATCTTTAGAACTCCATCCTTCGTGTAACAGTTAACAGTTCCTTCCCCGTGATATGTAACATTGAAACGTCTGATTTTATCATTATAATGAATTATATTAAGTATTATGATGTCAAAAGAACCTCTTTATTACTTTAAATAATGACGCAATAAAATAATTCTAAAATTTGTCTAGATTTGCATAGCTTTGATTTAGGCTTTCAATTATATCCATAGTCATTGAAATATTTATTATTATAGTATTAAGAGAAACATTGGCATAATTGCTAGTATCACGGGGGAGGAACTGTTACAGGAAGGATGGAGTTCTTATCATAACTTGTTATAGGAGTTCCTAGTTACTATAGGAAAAAAGCCCTAAAATGTTATTCAAATTTTGAAGACATTCAAACTAAAATACCATATGTATTTTTAAAATAAAAAAAATTGAAGGTATGGTTTGGAATATTTAATGACAAAATGTTGACGTTTACAAATCGTTTCTTTAAAATGATTTATCATCATGAGAAAATGTGAGTTTTGTGACTTTTTAAAAAAATCGCATCTCATCGGAAAGTGTGGTTATTTTCAATCAAAATTCACATAAAGTAAAGTTTAAGTTTGCACAAGGCCAGGCTCCTTTAGATCCATAACATTGATTTACTCGAACACAGTTTGAATATAAATACTTTCCCTCCGTCAATGATGTTTTTATACCGACATGTATATAATAGTACGGCTGTCGACGCCTTGAACGGTCTACATATTTGATTGTACGGTGCGCTAACTTTGCATGAAAATCACGAAATTCTTGTTTATAATGCCTAGTACACCTGGTTCTGTTACATTTTGTTACAGACGGAATGTCCACTTTCATATCAAATCTGGAGGGTGATAAAATTTGTTTTAAGTTTTTCGGCTGTCTTTTACTGTTTATAATTCTTTTCTTTTGTAATATATTCTTCATTCTTTCACTCTTTTGTAGAATTATTTTACAAGAATTTATAACTGGGAACATGTTTGTATTTCTGGGATTGTGTGTTGAAACGAAAGGGATAACATCATGGGCGGAAGTACGAGTGTCTTTACGATCAGTGGTCTTGATGGGTCCTTAGATATAGCCTGCTCTATTCCATGTTGTATCCAGTACATCTGGATAATTTCTGTTGTTTTAACTGTAATTTCAATTCTGTTAGACGCTTTCTTGTAAGTCTTTTATTTTTCACGATAGTAATAATTCTTGAAGCTAAATTGAATGGTATGTTAACTTTAGTATGCTTAGGATGACATGATCTAAAATCTAAATAGTTGTGTGTATCTGTAGGTTTACAGTATAAATCTGTACAAATGTTATTTCCTGACTTCAAAACAAGAATATCCAAAAAAGCCATCGCACTTTCACTTTCATTATATGTGAATTGTATACTTTGATGCAAGTTATTAAGTTCGTTTAAAAAAAGTAAATATTTTTCCATTTCCACATGGTTTCAAGTAATACATTTTCTGACATATTTTTACTCGTTTAGCTCACTAATATTAAAAAGTATTTATAGGTAATGCAAACGTTGTATCTACTTCTATAATTAGTCAATGTTTTGAATTTTAATACTTATTTATTACCTCCCTTTATAGAATATTTACCCTATGTATTTTTGTAGCAATTTCATACTTCTTATATAGAAGGTAAAAGAATATCTCATTTCCAGCGCAACGTCGTATTTTTTACGTTTCCCGCACTTTTATAACGTTACGTCATTGTTATATTTGTTATGTTTATATTATACGTTACTGTCTGAAGATATGTAGAAACATTTGAAAGCGCTAACAGAAATAAACGTATAAAATTGAAGAACTTTGTACTCTGCATTTCCCAAAACATACTTTTTA